CGGCGGGGAGGATTTGCTCCATTTACCGATCTGAGATGGTGGCGCCCAAAACGGCAAAGCAACATCTCCTGAAGCACCCGTCCTTCGAGGAAGACCCCATAATCATTTGCTCCGACTCGCAGGCGTCGCTGGCGACGCCACGAGGTGGACAAGTGGCCCAGACACCCCCCCCTCATCCCCTAGGTGCCGCCATCTGGGAGTATATGATGGCCCTAGTGGCTGTAGGGGGCCGAAGAATCCACCATAGAAGGAGGGCGGCGATAGCCCGATTAAGCTGGGCGTCCAGTGGAGCCTCGGCTCTATCATGGGCATTGGGCAAGGACTCTGCGAGCACCCCCGTCTCCTCCATCTTCGACGGCACTCCAGTCAGAAAGCTGTCCCCACCCGAGTTTCCCAGCAGCATGGGCCACATGAAACCGAACAGCGCCGAGCCGCTCGACGCTGAGGACCAGGCGAGAGTAACAGTGAAAAGGTGAAACGCTCGAAACGGCGCGCGCCGCCGGCCGAGGGCGCCGAGCCGGCCCAGGCCGGCTGCGGGTCAAACAGAAGCCGTCTCCGCGGCGGCCGCCCAGTGACAGCGACTCGGACTGACGTCGAGGCACCGCTGCCGCCTCCGCCGACCAACCCGCCGCCCAGCAAGGGCAGTTTGAAGGCGGCTGCGCCGGTGAAGGTGGCGCGGCCTGGCAGGGGCCGCGGCCGGCCCACTCCCAGCTACCCGTCCCGCGAGGTGCTCAGTACCACCGACTCGTCCGATTCTGAGGCAGCGCCGTCGGCGGGCCGCCGCCAGCAGTGACGACGACCGGCTGGCGGCGTTCGCGCGGGACTTGTCCGACTCCTGGTACTCGGACTTGCCGCCCAAACTGGACGCCGGCGGCGTGAGCACCAGCAACGCCAATAAAAAGTCCACCTTCATCCGGCTCTTCTCGCACCGTGTCAAAAGGACTACGCCGCGCGGCCGGCCGGCCAACTCGAATGAGCGCAGCGAAGGGCACACGTCCCCGACGGCGGCACTGGCGCCTCCCGCCGCGCCGCTGCCGGCGTTGCTGGCAACGCCGATCCAGGCCCATCGATTTCTACTGTTTTGTTGCCTACGTGCCGCTGCCGCCGCTCAGCCAGCACAATGGCGTGCCGGTGTTGCGCTGTCGGATCGAAAAGCGGCTCGTGCAGCGGACGGACGGGTGCGGCCCGCGCGATGAGCCGCCGCCGCACACCGAGCTGCGCCGCGCGGACGTGAAGGTGGAGCTGGCAGCGGCCTGCTCAGTCCCCTCAACGGCGTCGACCGGCTCTCCGGCGATTTGCGGTCAGAAACGCCGCCGCTTCTGGGACCAAGGTGTCAGAGCGCGGCGCTGCCCGTGAGACGTTAAGTTAGCACAGGCAATGTCGTCTGCACTCCTTGCAGTTCATGTTGAATACACAACCATGTTGCGAAGTAATAGGCGCCGGGTTTTTCAGTTCATAGAACTTTTTCCCTGGCTATTACACCCCACAACCGAACACTGACACCTTGCACAAGTATGACTGTGTGTATGAATGTTAATAAATACATGAACCAATGTTGTGTTTTCGGTTCCAGTACCTTCTTTGGGCACCTCGGCAACAAGTAAGTAATCCGTTAGCTTTGCCACACCTAAGATAGGCTCCCACGTTGTTATTTGCTCCCGGGTTAACATAAACCGGTTTAACGTAACTTTTGCATCCCGGCCAAAATTGCCGGTTAACTGTCCCACCGCTCGAGACTGGCGCTAGGCTGGCCGAGCAAAAAAAAAGTTTGTCCGCGGCTTCGTCTTATTCGCAGCTGCTGGACACGGGGGAGGGGGGAGGAGGGGCTGCATCGGACGAAAAGCGGGCTCTGGTATTAACTAGATTTTTTGCCAGCTGGCGCCGTATGGTGGCGCTAGCAGAGCTTCTTACATATCAATGCTAGATATAAAAGAATGAATATTTACCAATCAATTTTTCATTTAAAGCCATTTGAAATATTTATGTCCATCCTTCTACCGCGCTTAGGTATATCTAAAATTAAATACCTTTCGTGCGTCGCCAGCTGGCCAGCCAGCTGACGCAATCCAGCTTTTACCAAAGCCCCGAAAAGCGATGACGTGAGCCCTAATATTGGCTTCACCACACAATTTGAGCCCTCAAACTGGAATCAGGTGAGCTCGAAAATGGGGATCAGGCTGAAAACTGGTATCATAGTGAGACTAGTTTTAGAGCTTGACACCGATAATGGGTACTGACTGAGCTCTGTTTCTGCGATCAATGATACCGATTTAACCCTCGCCCGTAAACGGCGATCTGCCACCTTCGCCCATGCAGGGGGGGGGGGTTGGTGCGACCCCCCCCTTGGCGTTTGAAAACGGAGCGTCGTAGAGCTTAGCGGAAAAGACCAACGGATTGCTCTCGCCGAGATCTCGCGATTGGTGGTATATTTTTTGGTCCTAGGTCAACATTTGACCTACTTTTGACCGGTCAAAGGTCAAATTTTCGGAAAAATAGACTTTTTCAAATTTTCCGCGGCGTTTGCGGCAAAACGGTGGGAGATATCGACTTGAAACCTTCACTATCGTGTTCCTTGATCAATTCTCTATCGTTTGGTATGTATTTCGTTTCCCTAGCTCTAAAAATGGCGCGTTGGGAGCGCCGGAAGTCGGCAAGGTCACAGTCGGCGGCAGAAATTCGAAAAATCAAAATTTAAATTTTTGAAATCTGATTGTATTTTTGGATTTGGGATGTCCATTTGTTCCCTATAGAAGCTAATATTGCTGCATATTCCCATTGAGCTGACAAGAATTAGCAAAATAGTGGTTCGGGCGCTTTTCAAAAATAGTACCGGACGCTGTTCCTCTTGTGACGTCATAGCTCCGTGACCTGACCTGACCCGGTCAAGTTTCTTATACCATATGATAGCCAATACTTGCCCCAACATGCATGGGAAGTTTCATCACGATCCATCAACCGATGTCCGTACCACCGGCAGGAAACCTCGGGCGTTGGCACTCAGTTTGTGAAAATCCGGCCGGAGGCTGTTCCCTTTGTGACGTCATAACTCCGTGACCTGACATGACCCGGTCAAATTTTTTTTTATCAAAAGATGCGCAAGGTTTGCCCCATAAGGTACCCAAAATTTGGCGGCGCTGCGCGCCGCCGTTTTTGCACTATTTCCGAAAAACCTCAGGGGGGGGTTGCACCAACCCCCCCCCCCTACATGGGCGAGGGTTAAGGGATCGTATGAGCCCATGTGGCGCTAGCTCAGAAAGTATTCTCGAAATGTGCTGTCTGTTTTGAATATGGTACATTAGCCCGAAAACTGGTATCTGAGCCCGAAAATCGGGACACTGTTTTCTCAGTGGTGGGCCTGGGTCGACGGGTCTGCGACCGGGGGAGTAATAGGAAGGCGGCGCTGGGGTCCTCACCGAGCACCCAGACAGTACAACATTGGTACTGCGGGAGGCGGCGGGGAGGATTTGCTCCATTTACCGATCTGAGATGGTGGCGCCCAAAACGGCAAAGCAACATCTCCTGAAGCACCCGTCCTTCGAGGAAGACCCCATAATCATTTGCTCCGACTCGCAGGCGTCGCTGGCGACGCCACGAGGTGGACAAGTGGCCCAGACACCCCCCCCCCTCATCCCCTAGGTGCCGCCATCTGGGAGTATATGATGGCCCTAGTGGCTGTAGGGGGCCGAAGAATCCACCATAGAAGGAGGGCGGCGATAGCCCGATTAAGCTGGGCGTCCAGTGGAGCCTCGGCTCTATCATGGGCATTGGGCAAGGACTCTGCGAGCACCCCCGTCTCCTCCATCTCCGACGGCACTCCAGTCAGAAAGCTGTCCCCACCCGAGTTTCCCAGCAGCATGGGCCACATGAAACCGAACAGCGCCGAGCCGCTCGACGCTGAGGACCAGGCGAGAGTAACAGTGAAAAGGTGAAACTGTCGTACTGCGCTGTGGGTAGCGCGTGGCTGGACGGACGGTCTGTGACAACCTATTGATCTGTGGCTGATCTATTAGAGTGTCCGTCCGAGAGCCGTACGACGGCTGACAGAGCCTGGGGGTCGCGAACTGGTGTGGTAACCGTTACGCCCACCTGGGACGCCCGAGTCGGTACGGCACTTGCGGTGTCGTAACCGGATCGGCGGGAACCAGCAGAACGCTGTTGGACCGGCGGTGAAAGTCGGAACCGAGCACTCGCCCACCAGTGGGCGTCTGGTCGAGCAGGTCTACCCGCTAAGGCAGCCTGAGCACGAACCAGTGGCAGGGTCCGATCAATGACCGTGGTCCGACCAGGGTGTCAGCGCAATGGCCAGTCAGAGGCGTCTTTAAGGGCGCAGAAGCCCACCTCGGTCGACTGTGGCCGGTGCAACCTAGTCAGGTCGTTTGTGTGAATCTCCGTGTTCTTCCCTCGCCTCAGAGTAGCCGCTCTTCTCCAAATGCCCGAGCCGTTTTCTATGTGTATTGGTCTTGCAGCGAACAGCAGAGTCGAGAAACGAAATGACAATGTCGCCGAAAACCGCGGTCACATGCTGGCCGTCCCTAGTACTACCAATATGCCCGCAGGCGCGGCGAGAGACAAGCTTAACGTATGAGTCACCGTCCGGCTGCCGGGAGAGCCCCTACCGCGACCACCCCCTGATTCGACTTCGCTTTAAAGGACTCGATCTCCCAAGAAAGCTCCTCTGCGGGTACCTCGCCGTCCCTGTTCGACCCTGGATCCAGCTGCCAAGGCAATGCCGTAGGTGCTGGAAGCTAGGCCACTCCATGCGCTCTTGCCGACGAAAAGAGACAGTCTGCGGGCAGTGCTCTGCCAGGGACAGCCACCCCACAGGTGACTGTACCTCGGTCCCAAAGTGCCCTCTCTGCTCTGGTCCACACCCAGCATGGGACCGAAACAGCTGCCCCGTCTGGAAAACCACCAAACGAGACACTCGAGAGCGAGCGCCATTCCAACCCCCGCCGCTCAACTCCACAGCTTGGCCTCCACTTGAGAGTCAGCACCGAACGATGCAGCCCCCTCCGGCTCGCACAGACGCCTCTGTCCAGACAGATGGTGAGGTCATGGCCCCTAAGGCGACCGCAGTCCCTGTTCAGACCCAGACCGAGACAGCCAGCTCTCAGACGACCGACGCCAGCACCCAAACGACCAAACTGACCACCTTCGACTCGACCTCTCAAACTCGACCCGCCCGACTGGTCTCTGCCGAAGTCCAGACTGACACCCCCGACTCACCGACACCAACCACGGACCCCGACGACTTCGGCTGCTCTCGAAGCAGGCCGTTCACCCGAGGCTACACGGCGAGCTTCCAGCCTGACAGCCCCCGAAACGACACCGACGATCCCGATCCAGACCTGATCCCGAAGAGACGTCCCAGGGGTGAGATCCCTCCACCTGACATCGGGTCGCTGAAGTTTGAGTACGCCAGCGGCAGGCGACTTTCCTACCCTCCCTCCACCCTCTACTGGTTTGACCATGAAATCCGACTATACGACCTTGACCTTCGCCCAGAATCCAAAGCGTACAGGGCAGCCGTGGCTGGCTTCTATTTTGACGGACCCCCTCACCACGGACGCCGTATCTTCCTTCAGAGAATTCCTCCAACGGGTAACCACTAGCCCTACCAACATCGCTGCCTAGGAGTCGAGCTATGCCTCACGGCTACTCCTCCAGAGCCACCAAATTCCAGTCAAAGTTGTACCCCTGAGACGGGCGGGACATGACTGGGGCACCCGGGTCACACCGGCTGCCATAACCCGCTGGCTGTCTCACTCGGTAGGCCGGTTTTTATTTTGGCCGATCCCTGCGAACAGCCTGCGCAATCACACTTTCACTGTCCACATTAGAGATATAACGTAACGTAACTATTGCGGGGATTTTTACTGTACTCGACAGTTTTTGCCCCTTGACTTAGGCACCAGGTTTTTTCTAGTTAGGACTTTTCCTGGTAAATACATCCCACACACACATTGCAACACCTCACACCATCAGCAGCAAGATTTACAGCAGCAAGTATGAATATTCTACCCCTTTCTGGACACCCTTGCCTTGTTAATCGGACGCCACATGAGCCGAATTAAAGTAAAGTTTGCTTCTCTCTCTTGCTTGGGTCAGAATTAAATAGCTGACAGTAAAGTAAAGTAAAACGAAAGATCTGGCTCATTGCCAGCCTTAGTAATTTCCCCTTCCCTGGCGGTTGCCTTAGGCATGCCGGGAAGACAAAATTAAAAAAAAAAAAAAAAAAAAAAAAATGCTCACAGTCATGACGTCACGACAATGGGCTCCTAAACGTACGGGCAGCGGCCGCCTCAGGGGTGCCGCCGTGACCTTTGCACGACACGTTCTATAGCGTATGGCACAGCGGTTACTAGGAAGGTTGAGGCCAGCGGCAGGCCGGTTTACAAATAACAAACAAACTTGACGCGCAATTGGCAACAGGTAACAGATTGATTAATAAAGCGGTGACAATATAAATGAAAATGACAACATGAAATGACAAATCGCATAGATGACAAATCGCATAGATGACAAATCGCATAGATGATCCCTACAGTCCTGCTCCCGGACGAGACGAACTCCGATGGAGCACAGCCTTGACCGCTCGGCGCTGGCGCAGACGGTGCCGTCCCGCAGGAGACGCTGGTTGGCAACGTCCACGACGAGGTGATGTGCGGCCAGGAAGTCGGTGCCCAAGATGGGTGTGGTGACGTCAGTGACGAAGAATCGATGTTTCAGGCGGTGCTGCTGACTCAAGGTGACGTCCAGCAGGCAGGTGCCGTGCACCGCGATCGGTGAGCCGTTTGCCGCGACGAGCTGCTGGCCGACAGGAGCAGGGGTCAGCGTAGACCCGTTGGGCAGGCAGCGGCGAGGCAGCACGCTGACCTGCGCCCCGGTGTCGACTAGAAATTGCCGGTCCGTCTCCGTGTCCCTCACGAAGAGGAGTGGCGCGGCGGGAGGGGCGCCCGTGCTTTGCGCCATCAGCACGGGGCGCCTCAGTTTTCCGAGGCGATCCAGGAGCACGGCAGCTTGCATCGGCGCGCTTGGGCGCCGAATCGCTGGTGGTACCAACACAGCGTGTCGTCGTGCGGCGGCGTTGAAGGACGAGCCGGTGACGGGCGGCGTGACTGGCGAGACGCCTGGCGCGGCCGGGAACGGCTGCGGTCGCGTCGCACGACGTCCTCGAGTCGTCGGTTGCTGGCCTCCAGGCGCTCCATCTTAGCGACCAGGGAGGCGATGACGGTGTCCAGCGCAGGGGTTGCAGCTGGCGCTGGGGCTGTCACTGCAGCAGCGATGGGCGGTGCCGGCTGTGTGTACGGCTGTGCCGCGATCGCTGATAGCCGTGGGTCGGGTCCGCTAGCTTCCAGATACCGGTCGGCCGCTTCTGCCAGTGCGTCAAGCGTGCTGTCGGCTGGCAGGAGGGCGAGGGCAGCACGGACGGGCTGCGGTAGCCGTTGTTGAAATAGGGTACGGAAGAGCTCCGTATCAACCGGGGCGTCCCCGGCTGCGGCAAGCTCGTTGCGCATTGAGCGTAACAGCGCCGTCGGCTTCTGATCGCCGAGCTGCTGGCGGCCGAGCAGGGCTTGTAGTCGGTCGGCGCGTGACTGTGCCAGGCGGGCTTGGAGCGCTGCACACAGCACGTCAAAAGACCGAGATGACCGGATGACGTCCTTGACCTGGACGGCGATGTTGGCGGGGAGGTTTGCGACGAGGAGCTTAAACCTCAGCTCGTCGGAGTCGACCCCGCTGACGTCGAAAGCGCACTGCACCTGCAGTAGCCACAGGTCGGGCTCTTCCGGAGAGTATGGTGGTAGCCGGAAGCTAGCCATGGGCCGATGAGTTGACTCGGAGGCTGAAGCTGGAACGCTGGCTGGGTCTTGAGCTGCGGCGCCGGACTGTGCGCTGTCCGCCGGCATGACGAGAGGCTAAGGTCGAACAACGGAGATCACGTCGGGGTCACCAATTGTCGTACTGCGCTGTGGGTAGCGCGTGGCTGGACGGACGGTCTGTGACAACCTATTGATCTGTGGCTGATCTATTAGAGTGTCCGTCCGAGAGCCGTACGACGGCTGACAGAGCCTGGGGGTCGCGAACTGGTGTGGTAACCGTTACGCCCACCTGGGACGCCCGAGTCGGTACGGCACTTGCGGTGTCGTAACCGGATCGGCGGGAACCAGCAGAACGCTGTTGGACCGGCGGTGAAAGTCGGAACCGAGCACTCGCCCACCAGTGGGCGTCTGGTCGAGCAGGTCTACCCGCTAAGGCAGCCTGAGCACGAACCAGTGGCAGGGTCCGATCAATGACCGTGGTCCGACCAGGGTGTCAGCGCAATGGCCAGTCAGAGGCGTCTTTAAGGGCGCAGAAGCCCACCTCGGTCGACTGTGGCCGGTGCAACCTAGTCAGGTCGTTTGTGTGAATCTCCGTGTTCTTCCCTCGCCTCAGAGTAGCCGCTCTTCTCCAAATGCCCGAGCCGTTTTCTATGTGTATTGGTCTTGCAGCGAACAGCAGAGTCGAGAAACGAAATGACAATGTCGCCGAAAACCGCGGTCACATGCTGGCCGTCCCTAGTACTACCAATATGCCCGCAGGCGCGGCGAGAGACAAGCTTAACGTACGAGTCACCGTCCGGCTGCCGGGAGAGCCCCTACCGCGACCTTTGCTCACAGTCGATATTCACGCACCAGTTCGACGCTTCACGTCAGTTAGCGCACGGTGTCCTCACTGAGCTCCAGGGTCGTCCATGGACGACCTTGGTCGCTAACTTTGAGTAAGCCTTCAGCTCTTTTTGCTCTATGTGACTGTAGGTAGGTCATCTAGGATAACTGCTCAGTCCGGGGGAAACCTAGCGGTGATAACGAACCGGACTATTTATCTTTGCCTGTAACAGACCCCGATCATGGCCATGGACTCGACCGGACCGCCTCCAGGGGCGCGTCTCCCACCCGACCTTGACCCACCAGAAGGCCGCGCTCTCATCCTGATGAGCCGGCCTGATGGCACTCCACTGCGAGGGAACCCGTTCGCCATCATCAGGGAAATCCGCTCGATCTGTGACTCGGAAGTCGAAAAAACCAAACAACTCGGATCTGGCAAAATTCTCATCTCGACCTTCAACAAAGACCAAAGCTCTGCCCTTCTCTCCTGCCAAACCATGCTCGGAAAACCTGTTTCGGCTGTTCTTGCAACCAACCTGATGTCATCGCAGGGTCTCATTCACTGTCCGGACCTCAGCGACCTCTCTGACGAAGAGCTCCTCACCGAACTAGCCCCGCAGGGTGTTATCGAGGTGCAGAGGCTCAAATCCAAGGACCGAACTCCAAACCCCCTGATTCGACTTCGCTTTAAAGGACTCGATCTCCCAAGAAAGCTCCTCTGCGGGTACCTCTCCGTCCCTGTTCGACCCTGGATCCAGCTGCCAAGGCAATGCCGTAGGTGCTGGAAGCTAGGCCACTCCATGCGCTCTTGCCGACGAAAAGAGACAGTCTGCGGGCAGTGCTCTGCCAGGGACAGCCACCCCACAGGTGACTGTACCTCGGTCCCAAAGTGCCCTCTCTGCTCTGGTCCACACCCAGCATGGGACCGAAACAGCTGCCCCGTCTGGAAAACCACCAAACGAGACACTCGAGAGCGAGCGCCATTCCAACCCCCGCCGCTCAACTCCACAGCTTGGCCTCCACTTGAGAGTCAGCACCGAACGATGCAGCCCCCTCCGGCTCGCACAGACGCCTCTGTCCAGACAGATGGTGAGGTCATGGCCCCTAAGGCGACCGCAGTCCCTGTTCAGACCCAGACCGAGACAGCCAGCTCTCAGACGACCGACGCCAGCACCCAAACGACCAAACTGACCACCTTCGACTCGACCTCTCAAACTCGACCCGCCCGACTGGTCTCTGCCGAAGTCCAGACTGACACCCCCGACTCACCGACACCAACCACGGACCCCGACGACTTCGGCTGCTCTCGAAGCAGGCCGTTCACCCGAGGCTACACGGCGAGCTTCCAGCCTGACAGCCCCCGAAACGACACCGACGATCCCGATCCAGACCTGATCCCGAAGAGACGTCCCAGGGGTGAGATCCCTCCACCTGACATCGGGTCGCTGAAGTTTGAGTACGCCAGCGGCAGGCGACTTTCCTACCCTCCCTCCACCCTCTACTGGTTTGACCATGAAATCCGACTATACGACCTTGACCTTCGCCCAGAATCCAAAGCGTACAGGGCAGCCGTGGCTGGCTTCTATTTTGACGGACCCCCTCACCACGGACGCCGTATCTTCCTTCAGAGAATTCCTCCAACGGGTAACCACTAGCCCTACCAACATCGCTGCCTAGGAGTCGAGCTATGCCTCACGGCTACTCCTCCAGAGCCACCAAATTCCAGTCAAAGTTGTACCCCTGAGACGGGCGGGACATGACTGGGGCACCCGGGTCACACCGGCTGCCATAACCCGCTGGCTGTCTCACTCGGTAGGCCGGTTTTTATTTTGGCCGATCCCTGCGAACAGCCTGCGCAATCACACTTTCACTGTCCACATTAGAGATATAACGTAACGTAACTATTGCGGGGATTTTTACTGTACTCGACAGTTTTTGCCCCTTGACTTAGGCACCAGGTTTTTTCTAGTTAGGACTTTTCCTGGTAAATACATCCCACAACAAACATCACACATTGCAACACCTCACACCATCAGCAGCAAGATTTACAGCAGCAAGTATGAATATTCTACCCCTTTCTGGACACCCTTGCCTTGTTAATCGGACGCCACATGAGCCGAATTAAAGTAAAGTTTGCTTCTCTCTCTTGCTTGGGTCAGAATTAAATAGCTGACAGTAAAGTAAAGTAAAACGAAAGATCTGGCTCATTGCCAGCCTTAGTAATTTCCCCTTCCCTGGCGGTTGCCTTAGGCATGCCGGGAAGACAAAAAAAAAAAAAAAAAAAATGCTCACAGTCATGACGTCACGACAATGGGCTCCTAAACGTACGGGCAGCGGCCGCCTCAGGGGTGCCGCCGTGACCTTTGCACGACACGTTCTATAGCGTATGGCACAGCGGTTACTAGGAAGGTTGAGGCCAGCGGCAGGCCGGTTTACAAATAACAAACAAACTTGACGCGCAATTGGCAACAGGTAACAGATTGATTAATAAAGCGGTGACAATATAAATGAAAATGACAACATGAAATGACAAATCGCATAGATGACAAATCGCATAGATGATCCCTACAAAACGCTCGAAACGGCGCGCGCCGCCGGCCGAGGGCGCCGAGCCGGCCCAGGCCGGCTGCGGGTCAAACAGAAGCCGTCTCCGCGGCGGCCGCCCAGTGACAGCGACTCGGACTGACGTCGAGGCACCGCTGCCGCCTCCGCCGACCAACCCGCCGCCCAGCAAGGGCAGTTTGAAGGCGGCTGCGCCGGTGAAGGTGGCGCGGCCTGGCAGGGGCCGCGGCCGGCCCACTCCCAGCTACCCGTCCCGCGAGGTGCTCAGTACCACCGACTCGTCCGATTCTGAGGCAGCGCCGTCGGCGGGCCGCCGCCAGCAGTGACGACGACCGGCTGGCGGCGTTCGCGCGGGACTTGTCCGACTCCTGGTACTCGGACTTGCCGCCCAAACTGGACGCCGGCGGCGTGAGCACCAGCAACGCCAATAAAAAGTCCACCTTCATCCGGCTCTTCTCGCACCGTGTCAAAAGGACTACGCCGCGCGGCCGGCCGGCCAACTCGAATGAGCGCAGCGAAGGGCACACGTCCCCGACGGCGGCACTGGCGCCTCCCGCCGCGCCGCTGCCGGCGTTGCTGGCAACGCCGATCCAGGCCCATCGATTTCTACTGTTTTGTTGCCTACGTGCCGCTGCCGCCGCTCAGCCAGCACAATGGCGTGCCGGTGTTGCGCTGTCGGATCGAAAAGCGGCTCGTGCAGCGGACGGACGGGTGCGGCCCGCGCGATGAGCCGCCGCCGCACACCGAGCTGCGCCGCGCGGACGTGAAGGTGGAGCTGGCAGCGGCCTGCTCAGTCCCCTCAACGGCGTCGACCGGCTCTCCGGCGATTTGCGGTCAGAAACGCCGCCGCTTCTGGGACCAAGGTGTCAGAGCGCGGCGCTGCCCGTGAGACGTTAAGTTAGCACAGGCAATGTCGTCTGCACTCCTTGCAGTTCATGTTGAATACACAACCATGTTGCGAAGTAATAGGCGCCGGGTTTTTCAGTTCATAGAACTTTTTCCCTGGCTATTACACCCCACAACCGAACACTGACACCTTGCACAAGTATGACTGTGTGTATGAATGTTAATAAATACATGAACCAATGTTGTGTTTTCGGTTCCAGTACCTTCTTTGGGCACCTCGGCAACAAGTAAGTAATCCGTTAGCTTTGCCACACCTAAGATAGGCTCCCACGTTGTTATTTGCTCCCGGGTTAACATAAACCGGTTTAACGTAACTTTTGCATCCCGGCCAAAATTGCCGGTTAACTGTCCCACCGCTCGAGACTGGCGCTAGGCTGGCCGAGCAAAAAAAAAAGTTTGTCCGCGGCTTCGTCTTATTCGCAGCTGCTGGACACGGGGGAGGGGGGAGGAGGGGCTGCATCGGACGAAAAGCGGGCTCTGGTATTAACTGGATTTTTTGCCAGCTGGCGCCGTATGGTGGCGCTAGCAGAGCTTCTTACATATCAATGCTAGATATAAAAGAATGAATATTTACCAATCAATTTTTCATTTAAAGCCATTTGAAATATTTATGTCCATCCTACTACCGCGCTTAGGTATATCTAAAATTAAATACCTTTCGTGCGTCGCCAGCTGGCCAGCCAGCTGACGCAATCCAGCTTTTACCAAAGCCCCGAAAAGCGATGACGTGAGCCCTAATATTGGCTTCACCACACAATTTGAGCCCTCAAACTGGAATCAGGTGAGCTCGAAAATGGGGATCAGGCTGAAAACTGGTATCATAGTGAGACTAGTTTTAGAGCTTGACACCGATAATGGGTACTGACTGAGCTCTGTTTCTGCGATCAATGATACCGATTTAAGGGATCGTATGAGCCCATGTGGCGCTAGCTCAGAAAGTATTCTCGAAATGTGCTGTCTGTTTTGAATATGGTACATTAGCCCGAAAACTGGTCTCTGAGCCCGAAAATCGGGACACTGTTTTCTCAGTGCACGGTAGCAGCTACCTCTCCTTGACGCTGAGGAAGTTAGAACGTAAGAAAGTCCCTGGACGATGCCAGTCAAGGATGGAGTAGTTACATAACCTGATTAAGCTGCTCCTGTATATACGTCAGTTACTTACTGAAGTCGTGCCTATGAACATATGACTCTGTTTTCCACTGTTTCACGCGAAAAACTAGACGTTTGGACAGGCAACACTCTTCGAACATGCAGCATTACACTCAAAACTTTTTTACTACCTCCTGGAGAGTTCATTTTCATCAAACCCGCAAGATAATAGTATATTGAAAGGGTAACTCGCTGCTACCATTATGTGCATAGTAACGGTACGTGGTTAATATGAGCTTATTCGCCAGCGAAGAGTATCATTACCATGTAAATATCAATATTACTCTCGCGATCCAGAACATCACGAAAACTCTTTCCTCCTGGGTATCATGACTCGGGTACAGATAGTCGTTTCATGCGTGGATCTTGTTTACCCTCGTGAAGATGATATTTGAAATGGAAACAATCAGCCAATCAGAAACGAGATCGGCCGTTTGCGGTTTGAAGGCCGCGCGCATCTGCACTCAGAAAACACTTTGAGAACATTTTTGAATAAGGGCTCATATGAGTGCCAAAACAGGGCTCAAATCTGTATGATTTTAAAATCGGGATCAGTTAGGCGCCCTTTTCGGGCTCAAAGTACATTAGCCCCGAAAGCGGCATCAGTTCGTCTTCTTTTTCGGGCTCAATTCGAGCTGCGTTTTAGGGCTCCATACGACATTCCGCCATTCCGTCTTTTGCTGTTTTCAGTGCCATGTGTTGGTGTACCTACCTACCGCCGTGATTTCAAAATGAATGGTAAGTTATTAGTTATCAGTTATCGCTATCTTTTAGAAAAAATCAAGATGTTGATGCTCATGCCATTTTAATCCCTTATCAATTAAAATTGTGGTGGCATTTGTTCAGAAAAGGTCTGATCTACAATTGTGGCGCCGTTGATACGAATACGCACGGGTTTGATTATTCGTTTTTCTTGTATTTGCGCCACATGAAAGCATCATATCTGGATTCAGGATGTCAAATAGTGTAAGAATGTGCAAAAATTTTGTCTGGTTCTTCGTGATGATGTGATTGAAGCAATGCTTTCAAGGGTAGGTAAGGATTTTGTTACTTGTTCGTAATGGTTATCTTGATGCTCAACTAAAATTAATCCTAACCTTGCCTACTAACATATTAAGTTAAACTTAGTACCAATACCTACCAACCTACAACCTATTTGGATCTTTCATATACTTATAACATGCTGCTGCTTCTGCTAACATGCTGCGGAATGCTGGTTGACATGATGGAATGCTGGTATGACAGTGTTCCATGTTTCAGAATTTTAGGTGAATAACCACACATGATGGGGAAAATGTTTTCATCCTAAAAATATGACAAGTGGCTTTATTTCATCTTTGCTAAAAAAATATGTCAAAAGTTTGATTCAACAGCCAGCTGCCAGGTTACGCATGACTTGACAGTTGATGCATCTACTCTACATCATTTCATTTCAGATCCTGTGAAGGTTCTGACAAAATCTGAGGTAAAAATGGCATGCAGTTTTGCGGAAAGACTAAATCTATCTCATTTTGTCTTCAGATTTTTTTTTTATTGGGACACCCAATTGAAATCCAATTTTAGAACACTGTGACGCCATGCCTGTGTGCCAAGTAAGAGGAAGGGTCTACAAGTATACATCAAGATAACCAATTATGGACAAGTTGAGACTTGAGTCATGAGCTCTTATTTGTGGTTACAATACCTTCAACTGCATGATTTTGCACAACTTCCATACAGGCATCCACACTGGAAAAGGTTCAAGTCCATACTTATTCTGGTGCTTGAATATGGCAGTTCAAAGATGGAAGGCATATGAT